AGAAAAAGGAAAAAGAATTAATGTTATAAATTTTTAAACTTAAAACCCAAACAACTGTCCCCCTTAAAATGCTTCCTTTTTAAGGGCCACTGACCCAAGAGCACTAACTCTGGTTAATAACTATATTGCAGTAGCAAAAGACTATATAAAAGCAACACCATCTCTCTTTTAGCTTAAATTTTTACATTAGAAAACAATTTATTTAGGTTTAAAATATAGTCGGGTTGGCAAAAATTTGGGCCTATTGAGAATTTTTAAAAAGTTTGTGAGGCTGGTGTAAATTTACATTATAATTTGGCCTTGAGCTCACACAATAACAGAACAAAGACATATCCGTATCCCAAAGAAACAAATAAAAATATCAACATACTGGATAACCTAAACAGTGATAACCAAAACTGATGGACTAGGTTGGAAATTAAAACTATGACCCGCAGATTTTAAAAAAAACAAAAATTCCCAAAAACTTTTCCCACCCCTGAATTAGAACTGTTAAATGAGCCCTTTAATACTGCTTAATTAATCTGACTATTACTACCACATAATTGTAAGCTAGCAAAAAATGTCTACAATCCTAAAAAAAATTTTACATGTCTGAGTAAGAATTGTGCTCTTAGCTTTACTGCAGTTACTTCTGCTTTGTGCTGTACCTGTTTATATTAATTATAGAGATACCACAGCGGTCCAATTGCTTCGTTGTCTGGTTTGTAAATGCCTTTTTGAAACAAGTCCTGCCTTTCTTTGCCAGTTGGCCATTCAAATTCTTCCAGGGAAGTGCTCTTCATGTCAATGGAGTAGCCAGGAACCTGAGAATATCCATTAAAAGAAGAAAAAAAGATAATTTGCTTACTTTTTCACCGTTTTCTGAAATTACAAAATAAGCATCATATAGATTGTACAATAGCAATAACATCCAAGGTATGTTATGCGAAAAATAGTGACTGAAAAATCCGTCTTTTTAGTGACATGGAGCTGTGATGACACAACAGCTAGCGTTTGGGCCTGTCTCCCTTGTTGGTCATAGGTTTCACCCACCTGAATTTTTATTTAAAGTGTCACATTTGCTTGCAGCTCTAGAGCAGATCGAACCATTTAGCTACTTCTCTGGGAAGTACACGATAAAAGAACAGAAGTGGTCATCTGTGTATATAAGCTGATCAACAACCACTTCACATCACTTGGGACATTCTCATATGTACTCTGTCCTCATTTTCAGCAGCCAGCAGAGTTCCGTTCTGACAGTACTAGCAGTAGTCTGATTACATGCATGTGTTGCCTTTCCTCGGACCCCTAGGCCTCCAATCACTTAGATTAAGTACAATTATTATTATCAGACCATCCGCCATCCCAGAATCACTGAGGCTTAGATTAACATGTGTTGAGTTGAGTTGAGTCAAGAATTGACATCACAGCACTCAGGCTTTCCCATGTGTGCTCTTCCCCATCTTCAGCAGCCAGCACAGAGTTCCAATACTGATGGTACCGGTCACATTCTGTTATATGTCTGTCTTGCCTTTCCTCTGAAATGTTGAGCCGCCAGACCCTCTGGTTACACCCAGGTGCCTCATTCTCTCCAGGCCATAATCTTTCTCTACTGATTACATTGCTTGTTTCCAAAGGGCCTTGACCGCATCTGCCTTGTTTAAATTAACATCTGAGTCATTTTGAAATTCGCTCGGCTAGTGCTGGACAGTGTTGCAGCTAGATGCTTGTCTATGAACCCAAACCTTGTGGGGATCAAATCTGCATCAAGCCTTATTTATTTTAAAAATGGCCTTGGCTCCTGGGTCGATGCAGCCTAGAATGGGTACTAGGTAATGTTCTGGGAAGTAAAAACAGCTGGCATGATGATGACCACATCACTTACCGAGTGTCAGTTGGTCTATAAAACATAGGTCTAGCAACATATACCCTATAGGCCTAAGTGCATGGAAAGGGTCCTTTCTTTAAGTGCTTGGCGGTAGGAGGATGGAGACGGTTATCTGTTGAAGAAGTATCTACTCCGAAAAGGATAAGGCACCTTCCTTTAATTGCTTGACAGTAGGATGGAGACGGTTATCTGTTGAAGTATCTACTCCGAAAAGGATGATATGGGTCCTTTTTTTAAGTGCTTGACAGCAGGATGGAGACGGTTATCTGTTGAAGAAGTATCTACTCCGAAAAGGATAAGGCACCTTCCTTTAATTGCTTGACAGAAGGATGGAGACGGTTATCTGTTAAAGAAGTATCTACTCTGAAAAGGAAGATAAGGGTCCTTTCTTTAAGTGCTTGACAGTGGAATGGAGATGGTTATCTGTTGCAGAAGTATCTATTCCGAAAAGGATTATGCCTAGCGTGGTTTAGTTTGTAAAAATATCCATTTTCATTGCACAAGAATATCTCTACAAGTACTGCAACCATCACCCACACATTCCAGCACAGTGTATGAACTCCGTAGCAACAGCAAGGATCCACAAGTGTGTATACCAGAATCAAATATGCTACAAATATATTTTTTTGGATAGCTTTTCAAATCTTGAAATTAAACCTGGCAGTCTGACAGCTTTCATTTCTGACTTCTGAGGGATTTTTAGTTTTCATCTGTGCCAGTTTTTTGCTATAGTTTATTTTATTTTCCTTGTATGATATTCTCACTGTTCACCTGTATAACTACATAACTACAGCTTCAATACTGCCCTCACTGTTAACTTTTTTAATCAGGCCTGCAAAGACTTAGATGGTATTCCTACCCCAGAATCAGATGTTATACCATCATTTATTTGTATAAACCCGACAAAGTTCCCAACCGGAAACATCAAACTAGTACTCTGCGTTAGAAATGAATGTTTAACATCTCACCACATCATTTCAGAATGAAGATTACACTGACAAAAGAATTCATATAATACCAGATTGTAATCTTCACTGATTACATATATCCGAAATTGATTAGTCTTTTTTCATTCCAGAATCCCTGCCCCTTGGAAGTTTAGGATGCAGAACATCACACTGCTTCCATTCACCTCTCTGATTGGCCTTCTCTTCCATTGGTTTCCCCCCAAATTAGGTCAGTTGTTTGTAAGTAGACCCTGTATGTCTTTAATCTCCCCATCATCTTCTTTGGTGTTAACCCTTTCAAAATAGAAGCTAGTTTGTTATTCTACCCTGTGGTTTATTTCACCATCCACAAAACAAAACAAAAAAACGTTGTAAAGTTAGTCAATTACAAAGCCATTTTTTCTTGTTCCTAATATAATCCTACTGCTAAAAAAAAAAAAATTTCAGAGGCGACAAATTAAGTAAGAATGAATATCAGATCAAAACAGCGAGAATGTAAACCGGACCGTCAGGAACACTAATATAGTCCTCCATTTTTTTTGGTCATGGCAAACAAGGGTTCTCAAAATGTTCTCATGCAAGATGACTCAGTGATTCAACCCCAAAAAATCCCCGGGGGGGGGGGGGGGAGGGGGAAACAAAAAACATGGGTTTATGTAATACAAACCAGCAGCAGACAAAATCATCTAAATGTGTTGAGAAAAAGAAAGGCTAAGTCTCAAGACAGAGCTTGGTAATCATTTTATTTTTGGTGTGGTAGTGGTGGTAGTGGTTGTGAGGGTGGTGGTGGGGTGATGTGGGATGTGGGGGGGGTATGGGGGATGTGGTGTGGGGAGGTGGTTGGTGGTGTGGGGGGGGGGGGGGGGGGCATCATGAAAGTAAAGGTAAAATGCTGCCGACAATTGTATGATAACTTGGGAAATACTTTTGAAACTAATGAGAATATAAATGCAATACAACATCTGAGCAGCTACTGCACTTGGAACCATTCCCATAGGTGCTCCCATTTCCTTTCCTCTAGCAAAAAGGAGACCACGTTCCCATGCATGCTGATGATTGCCCTAAGTTGCCAACCTGATGTAAAAGTTCACCCATTTTTTTTTTTTTTTTTTTTTAAATTTTTTCATCTGAGTGTAGGAAAAGGAAATAACAAATACGTTCTTGTGTACAATCTTGACTGTAGATCTGATATCATTCTCTACATATGTGCTCTGTTGCACTCTTGATCCTAGCAAGCCTTCACCAGGTCTGTTTTATCATAAAGTAATTCAGCATTCAGAGGGGAGACAGCAGCTAATCTGTCAGCCAGCTTCATTACCAAGTCTCCGTTACCAAGTCTCCGTTACCAAGTCTCCGTTACCAAGTCTCCGTTACCAAGTCTCCGTTACCAAGTCTCCGTTACCAAGTCTCCGTTACCAGGTCTCCGTTACCAAGTCTCCGTTACCAAGTCTCCGTTACCAGGTCTCCGTTACCAAGTCTCCGTTACCCGTTACCAAGTCTCCGTTACCAAGTCTCCGTTACCAAGTCTCCGTTACCAAGTCTCCGTTACCAAGTCTCCGTTACCAAGTCTCCGTTACCAAGTCTCCGTTACCAAGTCTCCGTTACCAAGTCTCCGTTACCAAGTACACCCTTTAAAGAAAAGTTTCTTGGCAGCCTGCAGGAGTCTCCACGGCTAAGCGGTTAAGCCGCCTGCTTCACATTCTAAAGGCCATGGGTTCATTTCACAGACTTGTTTAGTTCATGAGTGACAGAAATTCCTGAGGATCGTAACTTTAGCTTAATTTTTTTTTTTTTTTTTTTTTTTTTTTTTTTAAGTTTAACACATGCATGTGCATGCACACCCGCATTCACACATGAAGTAAACCTGATTGCTAAAACAAAACAAAATTAACACTATATTTACCTGTTCTCTAATGATCCAGAAACAGCAATGTAGTCAAAGAGGGACAAGTGTTGAATGTACTCACAAAGTCCAACACCTCCTCCATGTGGGCACACAGGCACTGCAAATACAAAATATTCAAGTGTGAGTTAAGCTTAGAGTGGCTGATACTTTACTGCATCAAGTTTTTCTTCCTGATGGCTCCGTCTTTCTCTTCAAAGAAGGCTACCCCTGTAGCTTTAGCAACAACCTCCTGGGGATCTCCAAAATCCTACTCATGAACTAAAGCTTAACTACTTTGCAAAGGAGACCCCAAAGCATTAACCTCTGTAGCTTTAGCAACAACAACCTGGGGATCTCCAAAATCCAACTCATGAACTAAAGTTAACTACTTTGCAAAGGAGACCCCCAAACAGATGTGTGCAATATTTACATATAAGAATAATGATTTGTTTACATGTAAGCAAAAATTTATTTACATATGAACATCAAAATCTGTTTCGTGTTCACCGGCTGTAAAATATAGCAAACAGTTCTGGTTGTTCATCCACTTCTGGATTTGGTCTTGTTACAGAACTTGAGTTCTGCGCTCACATCCATATTACAGATCTGGTTTATTTGTGTGCAGACTGCTGGTTACTCGCCTCAGGCAGATACACTACGATGTGGAAGGAAATACCCCCAATTAGTCACCTTGTTTGCTCGTTAGGGGCTATTCTCCCCCCCCCCCCCCCCCCCCCCCCCCCCCCCCCCCCCCCCCCCCCCCCCCCCCCCCCCCCCCAATGAGGTCCCGGAACTCACACGGGGAATATATTAAAACATGAAAAAGAACTGAAAAGCACACGGAACTATCAGCCATTAAGTATTAAACTTCATTATGAAGATGCTATTTAAGGGCTATAGTTTCAGTCGGGCAGTATTAAACATCTGCATGAAGATGCTATTGAGTTAAGCTGATTCAAAAACCGATATCACAGCACTCAGGGCATTCCCATAAGCACTCTGTCCCCATCCTCAGCAACCAGTAAAGAGTTCCAATACTAACAGTGCCAGTAGCATTCTGATTAAACGTCCGTCTTGCCTTTCCTCTGAGCCTCGAGCATCTGCCAGAACCTCTCGTCACTCCCCGCTGCATCAATCTCACCAGACTGTGGTGATCCATCTGCTCCTCTGAACTGTACATGCTCTCCCACAAGGCACTAACCACGTCTTCCTTATCATGCATCAGTATTCCATCAAGTTGTGCAGAGCCAGCCAGTCTGTCCGTCTGTTCATTTCCCAACACACCGGCATATCCCAGTGGTAAAATTCAGACAATACTCCTCACCCGTGTCCTCTGCAGTGAAGCACGCCACTCTGCACGGAGCATGCCTGTCCTGACCTTCCTCAGCATGCTTTCTGAGTCAATTACAATCACTATGTGTGTGTGTGTTGTGTTCTCTAACCAAAGGAAAGCTGCAGTGACCGCCTCTGCCTCCACCTCCACCTCCATTCTTAAGCTGGATGTTGTATCATACGCTAAGCTCTCCTGCACCAAATGTCGACTATTAACTTTTGCGGAGAAACTCCATTCCTACCAAACATGATCTATACCAAACAGGACATATACAAACACATTTCCCATAAGAAATAAAGGGAGAATAATTCATCTGTTCTCGTGAGAAAAACACTTCGGCTATCCTCCGAATAACGGTCCTAAATTATCAAGGCGGACAATATACCCTAACAGGGCTTCAGTCATGTGTCACTTGCGCACTTCCGCCGTCTTACATTGCGCACTTCTGGCGACTTCCACCACCGCCGAGAGTATCCCCCACACCGTGTTAGTGGATTGGGGCTAAACTAGATGGCTGGGACTCACAAGCAGCAGCTACCACATCTCCTGCAGCTTCCTTCATTTTATTTGCTAGTGAGTCCTAGCCATCTAGTTTAGCCCCAATCCACGCAGCGTGAGCGGCGTGGGGGATACTCTCGGCAATGGCGGTATAGTCCCAGGAAGTTCGCAATTCAGCGGTGGTGTTATAGTCCCAGGAAATGCGCAACTGACACGTGATTAAGGCCCTGTTAGGGTATATTTTTCACCTCGATAATTTAGGACCGTTATTCGGAGGATAGCCAAAACTTCTACAGTAACTGGCATATTTTACACTGATGAGGTCGTATAAAATTATTTGTACATAGCAATTGGATAAAAGAAATTAAAGCCACTTTACCTTGCTGAGAAGAGTTGAGTGCTTACTAGGATGTAAGGAAGGATAGGATGGGCTATTTTTTTGAAGGAGATTCCCCTTCCAATAAAACTGCAGGAATGTGAAATCTGGTGGGTTTTTTTTTTTCTTGGTTTTTTTCTACCTATTTTCCCTACTTGGATATGGATGAGGCTCACCAGGTCTGACTTTTACTAAAAATATGTCCAAAGAACTTTGCTTTTGCAGTCTCCTAAGAACGTTTCAGAAATGTGACATTGTCTGGCCATTCCAGACAATGCTTACGTCTTGTTTGGGCTTTGTCGGGCAGGTATTACTCTGCAAAGTTTTCTACATCCATCTGTTTCTCTGTAAAGTTTTTTTACATCCATCCATTTGTTTCTCTGCAAAGTTTTGGACATCCATCCATTTGGCAAACATTTTCTTGATTATGAGAGAGGTAAACAAGGGTAGAGCAAGGTGTCACGACTAATTTTGACTTATACAAGTTCTAGCACGCAAGTCATATTTCAAAGGTCATGTAGCAAGCAAAATTTTATGTATCTAAAAAGGACGTAAGCCAGGTTGAACAAATGCCAGAACAGACGTACTCAGAGATGCCACTGTATTTAAAATCACACAGCACTATCTCAGTGCTATTCAGTAGTAAAAGGACTGTTTCATTCATTTAATGCTAAATATCATAAAGAGGCTAATTCTGATGTATATATGTATGTGACAGGGCTTACAAGCTTGTCATCTTTAAATGTAGTTGATGGTTTCTCAAACAAGAATGAATATAACCAAAAGTTACATCTACCCTCACCTCCGTACTTCTTGGCCATTAGAATCACCGCCAAGTTCTCATTTACACCACCGAGTCGACAGCTGTCAATCTGACAGAACTGCATGGCTCCAGATTTCAGGAACTGCTTGAACATGACGCGGTTCTGACACTGCTCTCCTGTTGCCACACCAATCCCAAGTGGCTTCAGTGCCTGATTAGACAAACCATCAACAATCCCATTCATCCCGTTCACCCAAATATATTATCATTACACCTTAAACAATAAGTCAGTCATAATTTATACTACCATTCTGTCTCAAAATATTAAGACAGCAATAATATACATTCTCCCTCTAGATAATAAGACAGCATTTATTTATATTATCATTTTGTCTCTAAATATTAAGACAGTAATTACTGTCATCATTATGTTTCCAGTTATTATGACAGTAATTTATATTATTATTCTGTCTCGAAATATTAAAATAGTAATATATATATACATATACAGATACATACATATACATATATATATATATATACATATACATATACATATACATATATATATATATATATATATATATATAAACCATCATTCTGCCTCCAAATGTTAAGACAGTAATAATATATGTACATTACTGTTATGTCTCCAAATATTAAGATAATTATATATATTAACATGAAACTTCCTCGATATATTAAATTAGTAATTATTTATATTATCATCCTTCAGTACCAATACTTCAATGAAGGTGATCAGCAAAATGTATCCATCTCCAGCTGTCTTGGGCTGAGATGCTATGGTATTTACACAACCATGTTGTCAGATGTTTACCTTGACTTACCTTACCTTATCTTGACTTTTTCCTCCGTTTTTTTCCCTATTACAATTGTCTGTTTGCCATGACTATTGTTAAGACAAAAGTTAGACAGGCTGGCTGAAATGATTAATTGTTAAATGAATTACCAGGCATCAGAAGTCAAAGTACAGGCATTCAGACTGATTATCAGTGTGGCCAGAAAGTTGATTTTATCAGTCTGGCCAGGAAGTTTATCAGTGTGGCCAGGAGACTGATTTTCAGTCAGTTAGGGCAGGAAGTTGATTATCCATATGTCCAGGAAGTTTATCGGTATGTCCAGGAAGTGGATTATCAGTGTGGCCAGAAAGTATATTCTTGATATGTCCAGAAAGTTGATTATCAGTGTGGCCAGGAAGCTGAATATTGGTATGTCTGGAAAGTTGATTACTGGTATGTCAGGGAAGTTATCAGTATAGCCAGGACGTATGTCTGGGAAGTTGATTCTCGGCATGTCCAGAAAGTTGATTACTAATGTGGCTAGGAAGTTGATTACCAGTCCAGACAGACGATTACCAGTCTAGCCAGGAAATAACAGTATACACAATGTGCAAGGAGACATCAGATGGGCATAATCAGTCACTGTACACTCATGGATTTACTATGGAGAAAATCAGAACATCTTTGGATTTATCAAATGCAATCAGATCCACAGAAGCATGATATCCTATGCTAGTTCAAAGGGAACTTGGTTGTGAAAACCAATCAAGACAAATGGCACTGACCTTTGATATTTCAGCATGACCCAAAACATCATCAGGGGAAGTAGGTTCCTCTATCCAGGTGATGTTGAAATGTACCAACTCTCTCATCCAATCTATGGCCTCCTGAACCTCCCATTTCTGATTGGCATCTACCATCTAAGGGAAAATGTCACAATATAAACAATAAGACACTTTTAGAGGTCTACATAATATTTATAATTTTAACAAGATCAGTTTCAACTCCTGTATTAGCACAAACACCAATGACTTTTCATAATGCTTTACCATCTCGGCACTGATTTCCTTCGAGATTTTGTCAAGTTTTCATATCCAGTGCCTTTATGTACAACATCTGTTAAGTTTTGTGGCACTCATGACATGTCAGAAATCCTGTCAAGATATCCTTAGTTGTCGTCCTCTTTCTCTATCCATTAATCTTGCCAGTTGTCAGAAGACATTCCAATCTTTGGCCTTTGCAGTTTGTTGCTATTGCTTATGTTCCTTCATTATGTTTTGGGTGAAAACTATTAGAAACTTCTGTTGAAGCTGTAAAGAAAACAGCAGAGTGACAGCAAAATTTAAATAAGATCACTGTGGGGGTTCCAGGGCCCCATTGTGTGGGGAGGGGGAAAATAGACCAAATGTGAGACAACACCCAAAAAAGCATGTCCTAAAAGCCATAAGAGTCGACTAATTAAGGGAGCTTTCTTTGAAGGCAGTTTATGTCCAGAGAGGAACCAACAGAAAGCCAGTTCTATAAAATGGATTTGTATGCAAAACTCAAGTTCTGGAACAAGACTTTAGTCCAGAAGTGGATGAACAACAAAAAATTTTGGCTGGAGTTTACAGCTGGTGAACATGAAAAAGAATCAGGAAGGAAATGTGTATCCATTAATGTACTTTGCTATTTGTCATTAGTTACCACAGCAGCCATGAGATATGAACAAACATTAGAAGAAAGCTTACAAGCAAATGTTCTGGTTTCATAGTCTGACGCAATATTTGGGCCCTTCGCTTGTCATCTTGAAGATCAGAACCAACTTTCATTTTGAATCTAAAAATATGAAAGAATGTAATTACTTTTCTCTAAATTATCAATTTACTCTTAAACTACAGTCTCCATTCATGTATTTTAAAAGAAAGATTATTTGCATTTAATCAGGAACAAAAATTCTTCAAAATTATTTCTTATAGTTGATTTGTGATTCAGGATGTTGTCTAAATACTACATACTAAACATTACAATTTAAATATTTTAGCTGACAAGTTAATATTACATATCAAAATGTTTATGCAGACAACTAAACATTACAATCAAAATGTTTAAGCAGACAACTAAACATTACAATCAAAATGTTTATGCAGACAACTAAACATTACAATCAAAATGTTTAAGCAGACAACTAAACATTACAATCAAAATGTTTAAGCAGACAACTAAACATTACAATCAAAATGTTTAAGCAGACAACTAAACATTACAATCAAAATGTTTAAGCAGACAACTAAACATTACAATCAAAATGTTTAATTAAACAGACATACATTTAAAAAACAAACAAAATTACCTTGTGAATCCCTCAGCCATTGCCTCCTCGCACAGCTGTAATGAAGAATCAGAACTGTTTTAATATGGAGTAAGTCTACAATGAGTTTACAGAACAACATTAACTCTGACAAAATTAGCTATGATTAAAGGTGAGAGAAATGGCTTTGTCTCTCTCTCTCGCTCTCTCTCTCGAGAGAGAGACAGAGAGAGAGACAGACAGAGAGAGAGAGACAGAGACGCAGAGAGAGACAGAGACAGAGAGAGAGAGAGAGAGAGAGAGAGAGTAAATGAAATAATTGCACCCATAAAACTGAAAAAATAATACAGCCATATATTTTATACATTTTATACTGAACAAAGACTTCTTATGCTTAACCAGTATCACTGATGTTCTTATTTATTTATTACAAATTGGCAGAAGTATAGATTCAGTGCAATTCTGACTTACCCTGATAATTTTTTCATCAGAATAGCCAAGCCAGGCACAGGATGTTGTGTACGCTGGATAGCCATTCTCTTTCATTTCTTTCTCTGTAAAAAATTTGTAAAATTTGTAACTTTTTTTCAATATTATATATCTACACAGACATTTAACATATCCAAGCAACTGTTTTATACAAGCTTTAAGCTAACAGTGCTACCGCACATAGCCAAAAAACTGCTTTTAATATACATCTAGCCAATTTGATATTTCACTTATCTGAGCAATTCATAACAATGTACAAAAGTGTCACTGTAGAACTGGAACTGTCATAGCAATGTAAAGCAGGTTTTTTTTTACAAGAAGGAAATTATATTCATCAATAGAAAAAGCGATTTGCAGTGAAAATAAATTCTACATAGAACCTATACTGCTGTATGCATTTTAAAAACGTTGACAAGCAGACAAACATTGAATGGCAAAAGATCTATGGCTCTGAGGATAATCAAAGAATTATCTGAGCAGACAGAAAAAACAAATTAGAGAAAAATAAAATTAAAAACTAATATCTCTAACATGCATATTTTAATTTTGTACTGAATATTTTAACTTTTAGTTCCTGAGTTAAATCCTGCAACACATCACTCAGAACATTCTCATAAGCGCTCTGTCCTCATCTTCAGCAGCCAGAAGAGTTCCACTTCCGATGTTACCAGTGGCAGTCTGATTGTATGCTTGCCTTGCATTTTCTCAGAGTGTTGAGTGTCAGTCAGATCATCTGGTGACTCCCCGCTGCATCATTCTCTTCAGACCATGATCTATTTGTTCAAGATCATCTGGTGACTCCCCGATGCATCATTCTCTTCAGACCATGATCTATTTGTTCAAGATCATCTGGTGACTCCCCGATGCATCATTCTCTTCAGACCATGATCTATTTGTTCAAGATCATCTGGTGACTCCCCGATGCATCATTCTCTTCAGACCATGATCTATTTGTTCAAGATCATCTGGTCACTCCCCGATGCATCATTCTCTTCAGACCATGATCTATTTGTTCACTTACATCCAAAGAGCTTGGACAAAATCTAGCTTGTCATGCATCAATTTACCACCTACTGATGCAGAACCAGCTAAGCTCTCTGCCTGTTCATTTCTCAACACACCTGCATGTCATGGAGAAAACATCCAAATGATTCTAACTACTTCATCATCAGTCATCAGTTCTCATTATGCTTAGTGGCACATGAGGCTTCAGAGAGGTCTTTCCATGCTTTCCTGTCCTGTGCAATCTTCAGTAATATTTTCCATGTCAAAGATGCTGCACTCAGGTCACTTTCCATCGTTCGTCTCCAGGTTGTTTTTGGGCGCCCTGTTGTCTCTTTCCCTCTGGTGTCTATGTGAGAGCTGTTTTGGCAGGTATATCAGGATTCATTCTCATAATGTGCTAATTACTTGGGACCCTCTAAAGTGATGCTTGCCAATCTTCTAACTTAACATACACATAATGTAAATGAAGTGATTAGAATTAACACATAGCATACCTCGTTCTGCTTTGCCTTCTTGCATACTTTTCAGGATAGCTTTAAAAAAAGAAATGTAAGATAATATAAACAGCAATGACACAGGGAACAGATTTCATCATTCATTGGCTTAGTTTAATTTTCTTATCTTGTATACATACTAAAGAAATAAAGTGAACAAAGGATACTGTTTGGCTGAAATTCATCCACATATAGATAGTTTGCCTCAAGTTGCACTAGTGCACACATTAGTTCTTAGTTTGCATTTTTGTGTGTGTGGTGTGTGCCCGATTAAAATAGTGTAACACAATCTTTACAATAAAACTGAGGTCTGATAACAGCTGTAATGCTAAAAGCTCTTTTTTCTTCTAAATAGTGTAACACAATTTTTGACAATAAAACAGAGGTCTGATAACAGCTGTAATGCTAAAAGCTCTTTTTTCTTCTAAGCATTTACTGAATGTAAACTCCAGCAGACAGTTCTCTTTGTTCCTCCACTTTCAGACTTTCATCTTGTTATAGAACATGAGTTGTGTGTGAACAGCTATTTTACAGATCTAACTTATTTGTATGTGGACAACTGGTTTCTAATATTTCAAGGGCCCCAGAACTCAGGGAGAAGGCTAGAAGCTCAAGAAGTAATCTGGTTTTTATACTAGTCTAGAGCTAACACAGGTAGACTGCTTTAATTGTTTAACATCTGCCTCTAACTTGAGAAGACCATCCCTGGTGAGGATTTTGACTGGTCTTCTGCAGTGCCTGCAACATGTCGGCATCATGCTGCACGATGTCAACACTAAGCTGTGCAATGTCCACACACAATGTTATGGAATGTCAACATCTGCAGCAAACAGACTGACTGACTTTCTTCCCCACCAGGACATCACACAAGCCATAAACACCCGATGACGCAAAATGCCACCATGTGGGTGAGGATCACTGTAGAGAGGTCCCAGAAATTGCGTTCAGCCTTTAGGCCATATTAAATGGCCAGGCTATATTGCGGCCCCTGGCAAGAGCCAGAGTAGGGCTTCAAATAACGAAAAATTTCATCCTAAAAAGGACGGGAAGCAATATTTGCAGCAAACATATGTAGCTTCAGCAACAATTCCCAAGGATCCCTAAAAATCCTCCTACTCACAAACTAAAGATCTCTGCAAGGACATGCATTTAACTTCATCTACAAAATACTCCTGGATAAGTGGACACCTCTGCAGTGCTATCTGCTATTACCGATAGCATTACAGAGCAAGGAACTCACTAACCCTAGCAATAAAAAAAAAATCCTGAAAGTCAAAGCACTCAGTCGGTGGATGTGGAAAGCAAGCGAGACTACCACATTATATACATTCCAAGAAACTCATAACAAAAGCCGGTTACAGAAAAATGCTCACAATACCAGAGACCAAGAAGAATAAAAACATCTACATCCTATATGATCTTAACATTGGGTAGCATTGGCTCACAAACATCATCCTGTCCTGAAAATTGGGCATGTGAGGGTCTTGTTAAACATAGTGGCCTGGGAAAACTAGGTAAGAAGGGTACAGTTTCATGAGAAAGAGGCAGAGGCTGATATTCTATGAAAGTATATACAAGACAAAGATGAAATGGCTTTGAAAGCACATGCGGCAGGATATAACAGACTGGAGTAATCAACTACGAGTCCTACATAATGTATTTACATCACAGCAGGATGATGGTAATTCTTCTTCCTCAGGTGTTTGTGCCAAAAAAGGGTCATTGGCACATTGTGTTGATTACAGCTAGGCTGGGATCTCTGTACCTTGCGGGTCAACACACTAACTTCAGCAAATCCCTTAATTGGTCACTTATAACAACATGCTTGTTGTTGATGCAGTTGGGAGTGACGAGAGGTTCTGGCAGAAGCTCGAGGCTCAGAGGAAAGGCAAGGCGGACGTTTAATCAGAAAGCTACTGGCACCATTAGTATCGGAACTCTTCGCTGGCTGCTGAAGATGGGGACGGAGCGCTTATGGGAATGCCCCGAGTGCTGTGATGTCGGTTCTTGAATCAAATTAAATCAACATGCTTGTTGTGGGCAGTAGGTCTGTTTTTGTTCTCTCAAAAACTGGGTTCCAAAACCCACACATCCAACATATATACTTCTGCCATCCAAATCTTATTCTATCATTGCTAAAGGATAAAGAGTATACTTTAAACAGAACAATTTTTTCAGCACATGCTTACCAATGGCTTCTTCTTTTGTTAAAGCATCCTCCCTGCATAAAATAAAAGTATATTACCAGGTGTGAGGAAACACACATAAAGTTAATCTACGAGAAAACTCTTCCAGTTACATAATAACATTTATGTAATTTTCTCAGTTTTTGACACATCACCTTAGATTTACTATCCTCTAGATAAATGTGTTGCAATTTAACTCTTTAGAGTCCCAGGGGGTTTAGCATCAAAGGCCTAAGGGGTAGTCAAAGGAGATGTAAAATGGGCGCATCTTGCGTTCATGGGGCCTCTAGGTGGGAACCTATGAATGTATGATGCGTTCCTTGGGACTCAGAGTTAAACATGGTTTTATTTCCACCAAATGACCACTTGATTTCTATAAACTGTACCTGCACTGCAACTTGGCAAGCAAAAAAGTCAATTCTATTTTGTATGAATAAGTGCAACAATAAACTATAAACATTCAACTAGCCTAGGCAAACCAGATGGGAAAATAAATATGGCAGAATAAGAGCTAGACAAATTCCAGCAAATCTGGAGCAAACAAAAAGATGGCACTTGATAGAGATAATAGATTAACTAAAAACACAGCACTGAAAAAAAAAAAGAATTATTAACATATGCATAAGAGAGAGGAACAATGAAAAAGATGTAAAGGAAGCTACAGGATATACAAATGAATTAGCTCACAGCCTATGCTTCAATGGAGGTAAAAGACAAGAAGCGTAACAAAATGCCAACTATAAGATTATATCTAGCAGTTTAGGGTGTACAAATGAAAACAGTAAATTACATTAACAAATAAAGACACGATGTCAAATAATACCTACAGGTAACGGAAGTCAATAGTTGAAACAAGTTTCTCTGGCTCCTGTATTTGAAAAGAGGCAATTTTAAAAAAAAAAACATGTCAAAATCTCAAATTACAGTTCAGCAGAAAGTGTACCTACAGTGCATTACAATATGTTTTTATATATTCCTACATACAAGCACACAAGCGTTGGTGCACACATACACATATAAGCATACACACACGCTCAGAATGGGGGGGGGGGGGGAACTGTAGTTGAAAGGTGTGCATGTACTGTGGCTGTTGAGTGTGTGTGTGTGTGTGTGTGTGTGTGTGTGTGTGTGTGTGTGTGTGAGTTTGAGTGTGTGACAGTGTGTGTGTGTGTGTGAGAGAGAGTGTGAGAGAGTGTGTGTGTGGGAGAGTGAGTGTGTGAGTGTGTGTGAGTGAGAGAGAGAATTGAGAGAGAGAGTGAAAATTGAGAGAGAAATGAGAAAGAGAGAGAGAGAGAGAGAGAGAGACAGTGAGAGAGAAGAGTGAGAGAGAGTGAGAGTAAGAGAGAGTGAGTGAGAGAGAGAGTGACAGAGAGTGAGAGTGACAGAGAGAGAGAAGAGTGAGAGAAAGAGAGAGTATGTGTCCGTGCCTGTGTGTGTGCATGCGCTCTCACATACATTCACATGTTTAGTATCTAGTGAGGTTAAGAGTAGTTTGGCAGCGTGAAGTCTGTAGCTTGCAATGTTCTGGTTTTTCATTATAATTGATAAATGTAAATTATTTTCATCACAATAACTGACAAAGAAACCTAATGTTATGGTGACTTGTTATCTTTAAGTGATGGGTCAGACCCAGTCTTTTCAGGCATGTGATAGATAATTCCTAGAAAATTATGAATCAGGGGCTATCCCAAACTGTGGCAGTCAGAAAGAATAATTTGCTAGCTGGGAACTGAACCAAGATGGCTGTCTCAGTAAGCAAGCCCACTAACGACTTTTCCACTCTATAATCTCATACATAATAAAATGTCCTCTGACCCTAGAATACGTATGTGATACCCCACCATATGTGATACCCACCATATGTGATACCCCACCATATGTGATACCCCCCCCCCATATGTGATACCCCCCCCCCATATGTCATACCCCACCATATGTGATACCCCACCATATGTGATACTCACCATATGTGATACCCACCATATGTGATACTCACCATATTTGATACCATATGTGATACTCACCATATGCGATACTCACCATATCTGATACCCTATCTGATACTTACCATATGTGCTACTTACCATATCAACAAGAAGTTTCCAAAGAGGCTGAAAAAGAAAAGTAAAAAAATTAGCTTCTGCACAAGAGATGAGAGCAAGCCACAGATTATACAGCATAAAAAGTCTTATGGTTAATTACCTGCAAGGATAATTAAGGTTAAAACTGAGGGCATGCAACTTCCTGTAGCAACATATGAATATGAGTTATGGACTCAGTCATTAAGGAAAAAAAGAAAGATTATCAGAATACCAGAGACCAGGAAGAAAAGAAATACTGACATCCTAAAAGATCTGAACAGCAAGGGAGATTGGCTGGTAAACAGCATCCTGTCTCTGAAACAAATATTTTCATCATATCAATCATCACAGTGGACTGGAAAGAATAATAGCAAAAGGCATAGTGCCAGAAAAGATTGACGGGGGGTGGGGTCAACCAGCATGAAGATGGGCACAGGATGTTAGTGATGCTTTGGGTAGGAAAGTGCATGAAGCAGGAGCGCTGGCAAGAGACCAAGTTTCTTTCAGGCAAGCGGTGATGACTGACGTTCTGCAAAGGACCTGCTACATGATGACAAGAGGATAAAATATGAATTAGATGTTTCTTAATAATTCATAAACCTTTGAAACAGATTTCATGAGATTTACTACAGGTGATGAGCCTGCTAGAAAGTCATTGCAAAGATATAACTTAAGGAAGTGGAAGTTTGAAACATCTAGTCAGCACCTGCAAAGTTTGCACATTTGAGATAAAAGGTGCAGCCCTGGAGGATAAGCTACACATTTTCAAACTGTCAAGCAGAATCAGATGTGAAAAGTAAAGTAAAGGACCCTTTTCCCCGCATATAGATATAGTGGACATATAGCACTAGACCTATATTTTATAGACCAATCAGCACTCAGTGGGTGATTCGGTCAACACAACATCATGCCAGCCATCCATCCTTCCTAGGACTTTTATCTGGTACCCATTTAAGACTGGGTCAATCTGTGAGTCAAGGACATTTTTGCAAACAAAAACCAGTCTCCACCAAGACCTGAAGCCATGACCTTCGGACCCCCAGGTGAGCAGAATGAACAACACATTTTTGTGTGTGTGTGGGTTAAGTGTAGGAAAAGAAGCTGTAGATATCGAGCAAAATTGTCATCTAAACTGTGTTTGTGTAGTAAAACTTGAAATTATCCACATGATTCATGGTATGTCTCTAGCTCCACAGCCAAATCATTGCAAGATAGGTACTTCTGTGTTTTTATTTCCCTGTAAAGCATAAACCTCTAACCAGCTCGTGGCAAGCCATTTTTAGCCTTGTTCACATTTGGGGGTGGCAGGGGGTTGGTAGCAGCCTCGGGTGCTTCTAGGAAGCACTGTATGAAAATAATACAGCAGTATAGAGAGAGAGAGAGAGACAGAGAGAGAGAGAGAGAGAGAGAGAGAGAGAGAGAGAGAGAGAGAGAGAGAGAGAGAGATGGGGGAAAGAGAGAGAGAAAGAGAAACTGGATAAACTGTTTGTACCTTTCTCAACATAGTGTCACAGATTAAAATCCCAGATTTTCAAAAGAAACAAAGTAGGTTATAATCAATCAGATTCATCCTTATTAAATAATATAATTTAAATGGATAGCCTGTGAAACTATAGCAACTATTCATCTGTTTAATCAGTTAGAGAAGGTAAGTAAGTCTCAGAGAAGTGTAAAAGTGAGCCAGGCACATTGCAGTTTACATATCTAACATTGCTAGATGTCGCCGGCCAGATGTCGCCGGCCAGATGTCGCCGGCCAGATGTCGCCGGCCAGATGTCGCCGGCCAGATGTCGCCGGCCAGATGTCGCCGGCCAGATGTCGCCGGCCAGATGTCGCCGGCCAGATGTCACCGGCCAGATGTCACCGGCCAGATGTCACCGGCCAGATGTCACCGGCCAGATGTCACCGGCCAGATGTCACCGGCCAGATGTCACCGGCTAGATGTCACCGGCTAGATGT